AAGATAAGATAACTGAATAGATAAGACTCCTACTAATCCCTGCTACTGAAAGCAGATAAGGTAAGAATACTGAATAGATAAGATAGGATGAGAACACTAAATTGTTGCTGCTGAGAACACTAAATTACTGCTGCTGCCGGCGCCCACATCACCTTCTCTCCAAATCCCCCATCTGCCAATGATCTTCTCTCTCTAGGCAACTCCTAGACCCCACCCTCAAGGTTGAGAGTTTGTATTGTCTGCCCCTTCAATCACAATCCTCAGATTGTAACTTTGCCCTGCATACTGCAACTCCTGACCACTTGGAATGGAAGACAAATCAGAAACCTCGACCAGGATTCGAGCCATATCTACCCTCTCCCAAGTTCTGTTTTTTTGGTCAAAGCTTAAGAACTTACCACACATTCAACAGATTTCTTCAAATGTTAGTATGCTCCACGTGTGCATAGGTATGCCCAAGACTCCTATCCACACTAAGCATCTCTTCTTTGATTTCCCTTGCCACCAGGAACCACCAATCCAACCTGAGATCAACTTCTCTTTTCTTCGATGACTCCCAACCAAGCACCCATTCTGCAGCTTGTTTGCTATGAAACATAAACAATAACAGGCCACCGTACAGCTTCTGCACTCCCACCACCCTCTCCATTCCCCATTCGAGCGCCACCTAAGCCTCGACTTTCTCCACATCCAGCTCCATCCCCACAAACCTTCCCACCAAGCTCGCTCAGAGAACCCACATCCTTTCTTCCAAAGTTCCAGCTTCCCCACCTCACTCACATCAACTCTCACAGCCCTCATAACAACTAGGATTTTGGGTATTCAAAAGATCTTCTTTTAAATGTTAGTATACCATTACTAGTACACAAGCAACAATAAGAGGTCCACTTCGAAGTTAATAGATCAATACAAAGTTTTAAACACATAAGAATACACCCAAAATAACTAAAAACAAACATATTAAGTGTGTGCATTCATGCCTAGGCACATGCCTTTTGAAAGTGATGCCACCTGGGTTCAAGTGAGGTGTATACCTTAAAAAGTTAAAATGCACCTAAGCTCATTGCACACTTTTAAAATACTGAAATAATGACTTATGGACAAGAAATGTCCACGTTTTTCCTTTACTTTCTAATCGATATGGATGTATTATAAGTATAAACCAGGTCAATATATCATATTATATTCAACTGCTCAATTATACAACAAATAATAAATAAAATCCCAATCCGTCCAAAGGAGTTACTATAACAACAGTATGCCAAATACTAAAAAATTCAAAAAATTGATTAAAAAAGTTACTATTTTATCAATTTTATGAACTTTTAATATTTGGCATATTGGTTTGTCAATTGATAAAACAAGGTTACCATCTTATCAAAAATAAATGCACCTAAGCTCATTGCACACTTTTAAAACACTGAAATAATGACTTATGGACAAGAAATGTCCACATTTTTCCTTTACTTTCTAGTCGATATGGATGTATTATAAGTATAAACCAGGTCAATATATCATATTATATTCAACTGCTCAATTATACAACAAATAATAAACAAAATCCCAATAGAGATAACCGTCCAAAGGAGTTACTATAACAACAGTATGCCAAATACTAAAAATTCAAGAAGTTGATTAAAAAAGCTACTATTTTATCAATTTTATGAACTTTTAATATTTGGCATATTGGTTTGTCAATTGATAAAACAAGGTTACCATCTTATCAAAAATAAATAAAACAAGGTTATAAAGGAAATGAAATGTACCTGAGCCATCTCAGGAGGCCCCTCATCCTTTGCAAGCACCCACTTAGCAAGATAAATGGAAAAAATGAAGCTGATGATGCATATGGAGAAGACAAAAACAATAATTGGAGAAGTACTCACTCCAATATAAAAGACAGCTCCGAAGCCCAAGAGCAGAAGAACAAAAAGGACACGGACATTCAAACCCATAAAAATCCGAAAAATCTGCATAAACAAAGGAATCAAAAAAATACCAGATAAAGCAATAGTTAGCATAAAAATATCATCAAAGGTAATAGTAAGTCACGACAGAACACATTAAGAACATCACCATAATAAAGCCTCATATTGAAAAAGGGAGGGGAAAAATTAGTAATGTAAAAGGGCCAAGACATCAATGTTCTCGATTTCAGTTTCCATATAGCAGATGGTTGCCAATTATACCAATGCCACTGTCACAATAGTTTCCACCACGGAAACCTTAAATCACCAAAAAAAAAATGTTTGAAAAAAAAAAAGAAAAACATTTAAGTTTTTCCTTCTGTGGTTTATGGGCTCTGTGACAGATGAGACCTGTAAAGCTAGCACCAGTATTGCCATTAAAAATTATAGAAGCCACAAAATTCTCAAATATACATGCCTTCTTATTAGGATGAAGAGAAAGAACTTCAAAGCATGCAAAAGAATAAACAATAATGCTTTCTGTCAAACACTCCTTTCTTTTTCCTGACAGTACTGTATCATATATCAAAAAGCAACATGTACATAATAGCATGTATAGTAAAGCAAAACGAACACCAAAAACTAATTGGGTAGTATGCTGCCACCAGTGTTTAAAAGTAAGATGTGCAACTAGAATGCAAGGTATCCCTAGATCCTGAGGCATGAAATCCATGGTTAGGTACAAAATGAAGGGTCACTTATGGAAAAAAAAAATGTAAAAACAAGAAACTTAATATATAACAATATGTTCACCAATATATATAATAATACGCAATCTAAATTCTGGAAGAAGTGAAACCCTGTTTGTTCAATTAATTAGAGCCAATGTTGCATGGACATGGGCACAGGGGTCAAAATCTGATGCATGTCCAAGAGTCTGACTCAGCAAGATGAGAAAACATGGACTTGCAAACACATCCATGGAAAAGTATGTAATTAAAAAAGTTCATATTTTTTTCAAAATTCTAGCATTATGTACCTGCCAAAAATGTTGCCTCCCTTACTAAGTGATGTTTTATATGAAAAATGGCAATCCTATACATTAGCTGTTCACTGTTCACTAATATATAATATCAAATAATCTAGGAGATGAAAAGGAAATGTTACATAGAAGTGTCATAAAAAATTCATTGAGTGTCAGACTCCATTGTGTGCACAACATAGATGTCATCCATTTGTGAGATTCCATGCAACACTGGTTAGAGCATTATGCTATTAACATGAAGGTTATTGCCTTCATGCCTTGTAGGTTCAAGTCCTACAATATAAAGTTTAAAAATCATAGCTACGACATATAACATAGTAAATTAGCTTTTCAAACATGAACTTCATGGTTCATTGCAAGGTTCAAAATTTTGACACAAAACGCCCCAAATCGGGTGTATCATTAACCAGGTGGTTGACACACCTATTTTAACAGATTTTAAGAAAAGCTTTGTTTTAATAGTTAAATAACATTTTTATGACACACTTCTGAAATTTTGGAAAAAGAAACAACTAAAAAACGGAAAGTTCATAGTACCAATACATCTCTTCCACCATATTGGGGTGTATCGATACTTTGAACCTTGGATCATTGATCAAAATATTATTTTTTATTGGAAACAGTAATTTCATTAAAACATTAGATTAAGAAGTACAATTGCCAACCACCCACAATGATTCATTGATCACAAAATATAGCAGCAAACCAGGTGGGAAAATTGTAATTTCATAGAAGCCACAATATCATTCTCACAAATTGATCCTTAAAACACTGATTTGCAACTTGATGCAGGCATGGAAGCAAGGAATATTCCATTGAGAAAGAAGTCAGTTTTCTCCCAATTCCTTATGAAATTGTAATTTTCAAAATTGTTGGATGTTCTTGCATTTTGGTATTTTTAGTTTGTTGATATCTTAGGAATAAAGTATCAGTTTTCTACAAATTGCCTATCATCAGTAAAAATCAAAATTACTACTTATGGTGAACTTCAGACTTATTATCTATAGTAATTCCCATAATTACTATTATAGTAAAGTTGTGATTCAGTAATTTTAGTGTCTTTATAATATGCTAGTTTTAAGGGGATTAGTTATTGGTTATTAGAGTTGTTTTGGGAGTTAGAGCCCTTATTTGTGTATCCATATGGGTTAGCTATGGGTAAAAGGACATCTAAATTCATATTTTGAGTCTATAAATAAAGTCCTTGTAACTGGGAATTTTTGAGTGGAATTAATGGAATGAAAAGTTCATTTTGAAATTGACCACAGGTAACGGAGTGATCTTCTTTTTATTTTGTCTCTCTATCTCTCTTCTTCCTATCATTTTAAACCCAGTAGGACTTTCTCCTTCCAATCCTACATCAAATTGATTTCAAAGACAAATCAAGAGCTATTAGAACAAAACCTAGAGATGAATTGGAAAGATGTCCAACATTCATTGGAAGAATGCCACCTTTGTTCCCCTTATTCCTAAAGTTGCTGGGGCTGTTAATATCAAAGACTTTAGGCCGATAAGCCTTCTCGACAGTTTTTATAAAATTTTGGCAAAGGTTCTGGCTGAAAGGATGAAAAAAGTCTTGTCTAGTGTGATTTCTAAAAATCAAAGTACTTTTTTCCAGGGAGACAGATGTTGGACAGTGTACTTATAGCAAATGAGCCCAATGATTCTAGGAGAAGAGTTGGGACACTAGGCATGATTTGCAAATTGGATTAGAGAAATCTTATGACCATGTAAATTGGAGATGCTTGGATTTTGTGCTTGTAAGAATGAACTTGGGGCAAAAGTGGAGGAACTGGATGAAAGTTTGTGTTACTTCCCCTAAGTTCTCTGTTTTGGTTAATGGACAAGTTGCAAGCTTCTTTCAGAGCTCGAGAGGTATTAGACAAGGGGAGCCTCTTTCCCCCTTGCTCTTTATCTGTCTTATGGAAGTACTCTTTCAATCCAGTAGGTTGGTCGTATCTGAAGGCTAGTGGAAGGGTTTTGAATTCAATCCAAGGGGGAAAAAGTGCACATGCTATAGTTTGCAGATAATACTTTGTATTTTATTGATGCATCTCGAGATCAGTTGGAGATTATGCTTGGCATCCTTTGCTGGTTTGAAGTTGTTTCTAAGCTCAAAGTGAATTTGGGGAAAAGTGTTCTTTTTCTAGTGGGCCAGGTTGACTGTCTGAAAGATTTGGCCACCAAGGTTCTGGCCTACCAAGTGGATCATCTCCCCAGGAGATACTTGGGCTCCCTCTTGGGGCCAAATGTACTTCTAGTGCTATCTGGGACCCAGTGGTGGAGAGGATGGAAAAGAAATTAGCTTCTTGGAAGGCTAAGTATCTTTCCTCGAGGGGCAGAGTTACCATCTTAAAAAGTACTCTCCCAAATCTCTCTACCGACTTCCTCTCTCTCTTTCCCAATCCATCCAAAGTAGCAAAGAAGCTGGAGAGTCCCTTCAGAGAAATTTTCTGTAGAGGTACAGGAAAAAAGAAAGAAAAATCCATCTTGTCAAATGGGATCAGGTTTGTTTACCTGTGGAGGAAGGAGGTTTGGGAATAAGTTAAAGATCTTTAACACTGCTCTTCTCAGTAAGTGGCTTTGGAGGTTTGGTGTTGAAAGGAATGCTTGATGGAGGACCTTAATAGCCTCTAAATATGGGGTGGATTGGGGTAACTAGAAATCCTTATATCCATTTCAGAGTTGGGGATGCTCCCTGTGGAAAGGAATTATGAAATCCTTTCCTGTTACTTCTGGTGGTCTAGCTCTCAGGATTGGTAGGGGAATAGATTGAAGTTTTGCAAGGAGGAGGACCCCTGGTGTTCAAACATTCCTCTTGCTAAAGCCTTTCCTCTTCTCTTTCAATCTGCTCTTAGTCCTGAGGCTTCTGTTGTTGATTCCTATGACGTGGTTGGGAACTCAATCTCCTGGTGCCCCCTCTTCAGATAAAATCTTTTTGATTGGGAGATGGACTAGCTACTGGACCTCCTTGGCATCAAATCTGAGTAAAACAAATATCTCTGGTTTCCCAAGTAAGCAACTGTGGAACTCAGTCAGCCCTTCTAAGTCAAACTTTCTGGTTTGGGTGATGGCACTAAATAGGTGCTTGTCAAGAGTTAACTTGGATAGGTGTGGTGTACAGATATCAGATCCAAACTGTAGCCCCTTCTGAGTCAAACATTCTGGTTTGGGTGATGGCACTAAATAAGTGCTTGTCGAGAATTAACTTGGATAGGCACAGTGTACAGATTTCAGATCTAAACTGTGGCCTATGCGGGCTCCTGCCAGATCTAAACTGTGGCTTGGAAGTTCGCAAGCCAAATATGGATATTCAACAAGTTCAAAAAGAAGTTCAACAAATTGAGATGGTTGTTCCTGTTGCTGAAATCTCAATTGCTCTTGAAAATTTTTCAAAATCAAACTTGATCCTGTTGATAGTGCTATGTAGTTTCTTCAAGAGTTCTTGATACGATCCTTATCATTCCACGCTTCAAAACTCAAGGACGAGTTTTCTGAACCAGGAAGGAATTAAGCATGGAAGCAAGGAAAGAACCAACAGATATCCGTGGAGAAAGAAGTCATTCTCCAAATTCCTTTTCAAATGGCAATAATTATTGAACATTTTAGATTTTGATGTTTTGAGTTTGTTGATGTCATAGGAATACTATTTATGGTAACTTACTATTTATAGTCATTTTCATATTTTTTTGAAGAATAAAAGGAAATTTTATTGAAGAGAAAAAAGATTACAGCAGAAGGTGATAAAAAATCACCTAGAGCAAGAAGCACCCACGGGAAACCCAAACAGGCCTAAGCATACTACACCTCACAAGCTAAAAACCAAAACGAACTCCAAAAAAAAAAAAAAGGAACCCAATACAAACACCCTTAAAGCAGAAACCGCCACCTAACTCTAAAACAAAAGCAAAACCTTTCTAGCTGCCAACATCGGTCTTCATCTGTAAATTATCAATGCAGTGATGGAGGAGAAGAGGAGAAGAGAGAGGAGAGAGAGAAGAGAGAGAGCAGAAGAGAG